AAACCATTTCAGGTGACTACCTCTTGAAGCTCATGGAGAGAATGCCAAGAGTGTGCAAAGCAGTAATCAGAGCAAAGGGTGGCTATTTTGAAGAAACTAGAATATAAAACATGTTTTCAGTTATTTCACCTTTTTTTGTTAAGTACATAACTCCACATGTGTTCATTCATAGTTTTGATGCCTTCAGTGAGAATCTACAATGTAAATAGTCATGAAAATAAAGAAAACGCATTGAATGAGAAGGTGTGTCCAAACTTTTGGCCTGTACTGTATATATATATAAAACATTATTTGATTATTACTGATGCATCAATGTAGCTTCTCAAGGTGGAGTTAGTTTTATAGGAACTATGTTTTTTGCTTAGGGGACTGGGAACCAAAGGAACATACAATCTATAAGGAGGCTTGTTAGATAATGAAGGACAAATAGTGTGGCAAATACGAAAAACTGATTTCTGCACCAATTTACTTTTCTTTTTGTGAAATTTGTGAAATTTATAATCTCTGGGGGTTTCATCTGAGAAATTTAGAGGGTAAATCTCTCTTTGGTGGAACTGCTAAGAAGTTATAGACATCTGAAATGTGACAGGGGGTGCCAACTAGACATTGCTTTGGTGCTACCAATCATAAATCTAAGGGTTACAGCTACCCCTGTGTTATCTAACCAGTGTTGTTAGCAACTTGTCAAGAGACAGCCCCCATGTGCCACCCAAACTGTCCACACCTTTAATTACGGGCAAATTTAAGCCTTAATAATCTTTAAACGGGTGATTTATATAAAATTCAGCACATCTACATCAACAAATTATAGGCTACTGCTAAATTAAAATAATTGTTTCGGGGTCACTGATTAACAGTGTTTGAAATCTTTTATGAAGTATGAAGAGAGCAGAGTACATTCTTTTAGGGTCACAGACTAACAGTGTATGAAATCCTGTTTCCAGGAATGAAGCGGGCAGAGTCCATCTCAGCCAGTGGGCTTTTGTTCTATTGCCAAGTGTCATATTATTGGCTGAGGGCAGACGACACCAGTTTCATAGGAGATGCAAGCAAAATGCAGGCTTCAATCATGTTGATGAGGAAGAGGAATGATGATGTTGGTGTGAAACAGAGAAAAGGTCACAGTTGTTTTTTCTTTCTTTTTTCCGGGTGTTTCATAACAGCCTGCATACACACCACTTTGGATTCCTTATAACTTTGTTTTTCCAGGAAGTCTCTGCCTATCACCTCCTTTGATGGTGTCACACAGGTCATGAAGATCAAGCTCTGATTGGTCGGGGACTAACATGCAGTATGTCTCTCAGCCAAATCACAGCCAGAATTAATGACTTTCGCAAAGGACCATTTTGACAGACAGAGATATTGTGTAGTCTGAGCCTGGCAGGTTTGAGCCCTTATTTGTAGAATGGATTCAGTCTTTTCTGTAATTGGATTCTACATTGACTGGGATGTCAGAAGTCTGCTGCTCTTCACTGCAGTCTTCATCCTCACTGCAGATTATATTAAGAACCGTCGGCCGGACAGCTTCCCTCCAGGACCTCGGACATTTCCTGTTGTGGGCAACATATTCACTGTGGATTACAACAGGACCCATGAGAGTATGACACAGGTAGATCATAGATATCAAAAATGTCTTATTAATGCAATTGATAGGACTCATGTTTATATTAAGCACCATGCACTGCCTTTTTCCTCTCACTCATCTACTCTCAGTTAGCAGGGAAATATGGAGATGTGTTCAGTCTGCGAATGGGCCAGACATGGATAGTTGTGTTAAACAGATTTGAGGTTCTGAAAGAAGCTCTGGTAAATCAGGGAGACAGCCTGGTGGACCGACCAGACAGCCCTCTGGAGTGGGACATAGGTCATGGACTAGGTGAGAAGACGGAATACACACACAAAGCCAAATGTATTCAACTCATTGCTATTGTAATACTCAAACAGGACATAAATGAGTGAGAACACTGTGTGCTTCCCCTCCAATCAGTGTTAAGGCCCATTTATGCTCAACGTTAAATACGGATCCGGATACGGACAGAGCCTTCTGTCCGTGCTCCGCATTCATTTCGTCCGTATTTCTGCACGTTTCCATAAAGCTTACAGATACGGGCCAAAAGGAGCAGTACCACCGGAAACCGTGGGGCAGTGTTGCTGTCACTACCTGATACGTAGCTCTAGTGAGACACGAAGAAAAAATAACAATTCAATTTCTCTCATCGGCAGTACTAGAGAAAATAATTCTCCGTCCTCCAGTCACGATGTATTTAACGGCCTCACCAACCACTGCCTCCTACAACGCTGCCTCTGTTTTTGTCTTTTATGCAAGAGGTACATTATCAATATCTCCTCCACAGTCGCCATGTTTGTTTTTGAGTTTGTTGTTGTCATAAACTTTTGATGCTGGGCTGCCTCCTGGTGGATATATTGGTTAACATCCATGCCAACGTAAAGGGCGCATGGAAGTATGTGGGCAGTGACGGTAACATCGTTTGAAACGGACGTATACATTTTCGTACGTAAAGGGAGCATAAATGAGCCCTTATAGTTGGTGTTATTGTTCATACTTTTTATTAAGTTCAAATGTTATGCTTTACCCTTTTCATTTTGTATTTTCAAGGTACATAAACTGTCACATTGTTTTTCAACGTCATCTTGTGAGAATTTTGTTGTGTTACCTGGGCCTGCTACAGTGATCAAGCAACAGCATTTGGACAAACTGATCAAAGTAAACACTGCAGATCCATACGACTTAGCAGCCCAAGGCCGGATCACAGACCCTAATTCACTATGTCCAATTACATGGACTTTATGAGCTATATTGCTTTTGGACCGAGCGCATAAACTTTTGTAACAGAGGTAATGGAACATGTACCTCATAAGATGGTTCCCCCATCCGACACAGCGTGATATACCCTCACACTCTCGATAGCCAAAGCAGTATCTGGCCACTATGTGTGGTCACTGATCCAATGACTGACCAAACTACCTTTATTTGTTAAGTTAACACAAATACTCAGGTTCAGACAAGGTCCCAAAATAATTATTAGACATGTCTATAAGACAAAGGGTTGTTTATTCATACAAAAGGAACATGTACAGTTCTGTCAAAATTAAAATCCAAACACACCTCAAATTGCAGTGAGAGCTATAGGATATTTTGTTTTCTTACCAGGTCTCTCTTGAAAATGAGACGTTGTGTCTCAGTGAGTTACCTGTTTAAATAAAGGTTAAACAAATTCCTAACAAAGAAGCATGTCCATGGCATTTTTAGCCAGTAGCCAGTGTCGTTCTGGTCTATTGCCTAAAACCCCCATTTTTTTTCTCCTGAATTTACCTGCACAGTGGTCTTTACGAAGTTCTTTCCTGTTGGTGTACTTCACACAAAATAACAAATCCATTTTTATAGCTAGCAATTTTTAGCAGTTGCAAAAATTAAGCCAGTGCCCAAACAATTTCAGTGTTCTCAGGGCCCTCACACATCAACCTGACGATTGGCTGTTGGTCAGTGTAGGGCTATTGGTGAACATCTTTCACCTTAGTTTTGGCGGTTAGAAGTAGTTCACCCTTGTCTGCTTTTTTTTTACTGCTGATTCAGTGTGTTGAATGGGTTTCGGAAACAGTGTAGCCCATCGGTGAATGAAATGACTCTGATTGGCAGTTCACCTCAATGCAGAAGAGAAGTGGAAGTGAGGAAAGTAAACAACTAAAATGTGTAAATGGTAAATATCCTTCACTCTTTCAACATCTGGTTATGTTGTTAATGTGCTAACTGGTGAAGTAGTGTTTTGAATCTGTCCTGTCTGTGTTGCAGTTGACTGTTGGCTATATTCCTTGTGGTGTGTTCAGGTGCAACTTTTTTTGGCAGAGACACTTGTGAGGCATTGCAGCAACTGTCCTTTGTTGCCACTAGTTCTTTGATGTTCTTGAAATGTCATAAATTGTGTTGAAAGCTCAATTTTTTGGAGAGAATGTTAAAGGGCCAGTGTGTAATATTTGGCATGGTTTATTGTCAATCTGAATCTGAATCTGAATATTCGACCCATTAATATGTTTATACAAGTGTATAATCGCTATAAAATAAAATTCGTTTGGTTTTCGTAGCCTTATAATTATGCTTTCATATATACAGTACAGGCCAAAAGTTTGGACACACCTTCTCATTCAATGCATTTTCTTTATTTTCATGACTATTTACATTGTAGATTCTCACTGAAGGCATCAAAACTATGAATGAACACATGTGGAGTTATGTACTTAACAAAAAAAGGTGAAATAACTGAAAACATGTTTTATATTCTAGTTTCTTCAAAATAGCCACCCTTTGCTCTGATTACTGCTTTGCACACTCTTGGCATTCTCTCCATGAGCTTCAAGAGGTAGTCACCTGAAATGGTTTCCACTTCACAGGTGTGCCTTATCAGGGTTAATTAGTGGAATTTCTTGCTTTATCAATGGGGTTGGGACCATCAGTTGTGTTGTGCAGAAGTCAGGTTAATACACAGCCGACAGCCCTATTGGACAACTGTTAAAATTCATATTATGGCAAGAACCAATCAGCTAACTAAAGAAAAACGAGTGGCCATCATTACTTTAAGAAATGAAGGTCAGTCAGTCCGGAAAATTGCAAAAACTTTAAATGTGTCCCCAAGTGGAGTCGCAAAAACCATCAAGCGCTACAACGAAACTGGCACACATGAGGACCGACCCAGGAAAGGAAGACCAAGAGTCACCTCTGCTTCTGAGGATAAGTTCATCCGAGTCACCAGCCTCAGAAATCGCAAGTTAACAGCAGCTCAGATCAGAGACCAGATGAATGCCACACAGAGTTCTAGCAGCAGACCCATCTCTAGAACAACTGTTAAGAGGAGACTGCGCCAATCAGGCCTTCATGGTCAAATAGCTGCTAGGAAACCACTGCTAAGGAGAGGCAACAAGCAGAAGAGATTTGTTTGGGCCAAGAAACACAAGGAATGGACATTAGACCAGTGGAAATCTGTGCTTTGGTCTGATGAGTCCAAATTTGAGATCTTTGGTTCCAACCGCCGTGTCTTTGTGAGACGCAGAAAAGGTGAACGGATGGATTCCACATGCCTGGTTCCCACTGTGAAGCATGGAGGAGGAGGTGTGATGGTGTGGGGGTGTTTTGCTGGTGACACTGTTGGGGATTTATTCAAAATTGAAGGCACACTGAACCAGCATGGCTACCACAGCATCCTGCAGCGACATGCCATCCCATCCGGTTTGCGTTTAGTTGGACGATCATTTATTTTTCAACAGGACAATGACCCCAAACACACCTCCAGGCTGTGTAAGGGCTATTTGACCAAGAAGGAGAGTGATGGAGTGCTGCGGCAGATGACCTGGCCTCCACAGTCACCGGACCTGAACCCAATCGAGATGGTTTGGGGTGAGCTGGACCGCAGAGTGAAGGCAAAGGGGCCAACAAGTGCTAAACACCTCTGGGAACTCCTTCAAGACTGTTGGAAAACCATTTCAGGTGACTACCTCTTGAAGCTCATGGAGAGAATGCCAAGAGTGTGCAAAGCAGTAATCAGAGCAAAGGGTGGCTATTTTGAAGAAACTAGAATATAAAACATGTTTTCAGTTATTTCACCTTTTTTTGTTAAGTACATAACTCCACATGTGTTCATTCATAGTTTTGATGCCTTCAGTGAGAATCTACAATGTAAATAGTCATGAAAATAAAGAAAACGCATTGAATGAGAAGGTGTGTCCAAACTTTTGGCCTGTACTGTATATATATATAAAACATTATTTGATTATTACTGATGCATCAATGTAGCTTCTCAAGGTGGAGTTAGTTTTATAGGAACTATGTTTTTTGCTTAGGGGACTGGGAACCAAAGGAACATACAATCTATAAGGAGGCTTGTTAGATAATGAAGGACAAATAGTGTGGCAAATACGAAAAACTGATTTCTGCACCAATTTACTTTTCTTTTTGTGAAATTTGTGAAATTTATAATCTCTGGGGGTTTCATCTGAGAAATTTAGAGGGTAAATCTCTCTTTGGTGGAACTGCTAAGAAGTTATAGACATCTGAAATGTGACAGGGGGTGCCAACTAGACATTGCTTTGGTGCTACCAATCATAAATCTAAGGGTTACAGCTACCCCTGTGTTATCTAACCAGTGTTGTTAGCAACTTGTCAAGAGACAGCCCCCATGTGCCACCCAAACTGTCCACACCTTTAATTACGGGCAAATTTAAGCCTTAATAATCTTTAAACGGGTGATTTATATAAAATTCAGCACATCTACATCAACAAATTATAGGCTACTGCTAAATTAAAATAATTGTTTCGGGGTCACTGATTAACAGTGTTTGAAATCTTTTATGAAGTATGAAGAGAGCAGAGTACATTCTTTTAGGGTCACAGACTAACAGTGTATGAAATCCTGTTTCCAGGAATGAAGCGGGCAGAGTCCATCTCAGCCAGTGGGCTTTTGTTCTATTGCCAAGTGTCATATTATTGGCTGAGGGCAGACGACACCAGTTTCATAGGAGATGCAAGCAAAATGCAGGCTTCAATCATGTTGATGAGGAAGAGGAATGATGATGTTGGTGTGAAACAGAGAAAAGGTCACAGTTGTTTTTTCTTTCTTTTTTCCGGGTGTTTCATAACAGCCTGCATACACACCACTTTGGATTCCTTATAACTTTGTTTTTCCAGGAAGTCTCTGCCTATCACCTCCTTTGATGGTGTCACACAGGTCATGAAGATCAAGCTCTGATTGGTCGGGGACTAACATGCAGTATGTCTCTCAGCCAAATCACAGCCAGAATTAATGACTTTCGCAAAGGACCATTTTGACAGACAGAGATATTGTGTAGTCTGAGCCTGGCAGGTTTGAGCCCTTATTTGTAGAATGGATTCAGTCTTTTCTGTAATTGGATTCTACATTGACTGGGATGTCAGAAGTCTGCTGCTCTTCACTGCAGTCTTCATCCTCACTGCAGATTATATTAAGAACCGTCGGCCGGACAGCTTCCCTCCAGGACCTCGGACATTTCCTGTTGTGGGCAACATATTCACTGTGGATTACAACAGGACCCATGAGAGTATGACACAGGTAGATCATAGATATCAAAAATGTCTTATTAATGCAATTGATAGGACTCATGTTTATATTAAGCACCATGCACTGCCTTTTTCCTCTCACTCATCTACTCTCAGTTAGCAGGGAAATATGGAGATGTGTTCAGTCTGCGAATGGGCCAGACATGGATAGTTGTGTTAAACAGATTTGAGGTTCTGAAAGAAGCTCTGGTAAATCAGGGAGACAGCCTGGTGGACCGACCAGACAGCCCTCTGGAGTGGGACATAGGTCATGGACTAGGTGAGAAGACGGAATACACACACAAAGCCAAATGTATTCAACTCATTGCTATTGTAATACTCAAACAGGACATAAATGAGTGAGAACACTGTGTGCTTCCCCTCCAATCAGTGTTAAGGCCCATTTATGCTCAACGTTAAATACGGATCCGGATACGGACAGAGCCTTCTGTCCGTGCTCCGCATTCATTTCGTCCGTATTTCTGCACGTTTCCATAAAGCTTACAGATACGGGCCAAAAGGAGCAGTACCACCGGAAACCGTGGGGCAGTGTTGCTGTCACTACCTGATACGTAGCTCTAGTGAGACACGAAGAAAAAATAACAATTCAATTTCTCTCATCGGCAGTACTAGAGAAAATAATTCTCCGTCCTCCAGTCACGATGTATTTAACGGCCTCACCAACCACTGCCTCCTACAACGCTGCCTCTGTTTTTGTCTTTTATGCAAGAGGTACATTATCAATATCTCCTCCACAGTCGCCATGTTTGTTTTTGAGTTTGTTGTTGTCATAAACTTTTGATGCTGGGCTGCCTCCTGGTGGATATATTGGTTAACATCCATGCCAACGTAAAGGGCGCATGGAAGTATGTGGGCAGTGACGGTAACATCGTTTGAAACGGACGTATACATTTTCGTACGTAAAGGGAGCATAAATGAGCCCTTATAGTTGGTGTTATTGTTCATACTTTTTATTAAGTTCAAATGTTATGCTTTACCCTTTTCATTTTGTATTTTCAAGGTACATAAACTGTCACATTGTTTTTCAACGTCATCTTGTGAGAATTTTGTTGTGTTACCTGGGCCTGCTACAGTGATCAAGCAACAGCATTTGGACAAACTGATCAAAGTAAACACTGCAGATCCATACGACTTAGCAGCCCAAGGCCGGATCACAGACCCTAATTCACTATGTCCAATTACATGGACTTTATGAGCTATATTGCTTTTGGACCGAGCGCATAAACTTTTGTAACAGAGGTAATGGAACATGTACCTCATAAGATGGTTCCCCCATCCGACACAGCGTGATATACCCTCACACTCTCGATAGCCAAAGCAGTATCTGGCCACTATGTGTGGTCACTGATCCAATGACTGACCAAACTACCTTTATTTGTTAAGTTAACACAAATACTCAGGTTCAGACAAGGTCCCAAAATAATTATTAGACATGTCTATAAGACAAAGGGTTGTTTATTCATACAAAAGGAACATGTACAGTTCTGTCAAAATTAAAATCCAAACACACCTCAAATTGCAGTGAGAGCTATAGGATATTTTGTTTTCTTACCAGGTCTCTCTTGAAAATGAGACGTTGTGTCTCAGT